CAGAGCTATAAATATTTGCTTAATTCTACCAACCAAGACATGCAATCTCTTCATGGAATCTGTTACTCAAAGTAGACATCTGAGCCTGAGTTCAGCTTGCCCACACCAGCATCAACAGTCACCACAAGTTACAAGTATCTCCACTACTCAAGGCTGCTGAAATTTAGCATAGCGGATGGACACTTTCCTATTGGCCCAAAGGTCTTGGGTTCAAATCCGAATATTGGTAGATACTTTTCTTCAAAATTAACCTTGGCTCTGTCTAAAATGAGTAGCAGGTAATGTCAGGGAAGTAAAGGCAGCCAGTGTGATGTTGGTTACATCATTCATCGAAAGCCGATTGGTCTATAAAAATTAGAGCCTAGCATCATATACCAGATGCACCACTGGCGAGAAAGGAGGTCGTTTACTTTCGCTACTCTCCCGACACAGGTTTCCTGGTAGCATTGTGGGAGATGTGCCAAAGCTAATCAAGTAATGGGGCAACTATCTTCCCTGTTGACATGCAAGCAGATACTCGAGAGTACTAAAGTAAATCTTTTCAGGACTATTTTTTTGGCCTATGCTATCACACTTACATCCTCTAATGAATGTACAATTGTGACAAGATATGAAATGCCTTAGAAGAGCTGCAGGAGTTTCAAGGAAAGACAGAATACAAACTCAGACAAATGCTAGGAATAAAACCAGTTTTACAGGTCATCAAAGAACAACAAATGAAGTGGTTTGGACATCTAACAAGAATGCCCTGGTACTATCTGCCAAAGCGAGCCACACTGAAACGTTACAACGGATATACAGCAAGGGAAAGACCTAGGAAAATACAAAGTAATGGCATTAAGAACAGCCTTCAGAAATGAACATCCCCCGTGTAGGTTCCAGGGCCCCATTGTGGGGAAAACAAGAATAGACCCACTGCCTCCCCAAAATCATATCATAAGAGTCGACTAATTGGGGAGCTTCCTGTGAAGTCAGTGTGCATCTGCCAGAGAGGCAAGAAACCAAGTCTGTATTCAAGAGAATGAGATCTGTAAAACTGATGCACACGCAACACTCAGGTTCTGGAGCAGGACTGCAGTTCAGTAGTGGATGAGCAACCAGAATTTTCCGCCAGAGTGTACAGCTGGTGAACGCGAAGAAGAAGAAGAAGAGAAATGAACATGTCTTAACAGTGCTCTTGACAGAGCTCATTAGCGAATGTTCCGCCCCCCCCCCCCCCCCTTTTCCCCCAGGTACAAGGTGGAAGAGAAGAAGAATTGTGTGTGTGTGTGTGTGGGGGGGGGGGGGGGGGGGGGGGCAGACTAGACCCACTGCCACTCTAACAAGTATGTCATTAAAGTAGACTAATTAGGCGTGTTTCCTTCAAAGTCAGAGTGCATCTGCCTGAGAGATTGGGAACCAACAGTCTGCATAAAATATGCCATAACTGTAAAACTGATGTGCATGCAAAAACTCAAGTTCTGGATCAAGACCAAAGTCCAGTAGTGGACGAACATCCAAAACTTGCTGCTGGAGTTTACAGCTGGTAACATGAAAACAAATTCTCATACTGCTCAAACACAGAGTAAACAAACCAGAAAATAAATTTGGGATTTTTTTTTAATTTGGAAATGTTTTTCATAATGTTGGAATGATTATATAAAAAAATTGAAAACAAAAATGTTTAATTTGTCCTAAAAATTTAACCTTGTTGGTTCAAAGCGCCAGAAAATCTAATCATCAGTCATTTGGAACCAAATGGGCCAATCCAACTAGGCATTAAACTATATCCTGTCTTTTCTCTAAGACAAGACACTCTGACTATTTACATTGCCTCTATTCTGCACAGACACCGTTTAATGAATGTCTCTTGCTTACAAATTGTATTAGCCAATGTCCATATCTCGGCTTAAAGGCCACGGTGGTGTAGCAGCTGGACACTCATCTGCCAGCCCGAAAAACTTGGGTCTGAATCCACAGACTTTGTTTCTCTCCAAAATGACCTTGGCTCCCAGGTCAACCCAGCCTAAAATCGGTACAAAGTATAAAATCCTGGGAAGCCAGCAAGTTTAACCCGGTCAACAAATGCCTGCGGAAGTTGGATGTGTCGGCCGAAAGGTACACATATCGCAGCCATGCTGTTAAACGGACACAACACAATTACATCTTTAGATGAAGGCAGAAGATGTCCTGGGAAGTAAAGGCGGCCAGCAAGATGCTGACCATATCACCTAGTGGTTTAAGAAAAATCTCAGTAGCATCATATGCCCCACGCCCCACTAGCAGGACATGAGTCTTTTTTTTTCTTTTTTAATTTCTCTGTTTCTGATTATTTGTGTTCCCCCCATTTTTTTAGCTTGTCCCCCCATTTCATTTAGTTAGTTATACAGTCCCGGCTCTAAGGACATGTGAACGCTTAGTATACAATGATGCCGGGTTTCCCAGCTTAAGCATTGCCCTGTCCACAGTGGTATTAAGAAAGCCCTGGCTCCATTCTGGAGAACAAAGATCACACCCACTGCCTCCCTAATAAAGTTAGTTGTGTATTCTTTACAGGATGTTGCAGAACCAATCCCATCATTGTTTGGCTGTTGTGGTTTTTCTAGGCAAATTTTACATTCATTAGTTTGCCATTGCTTACTGAACGGTCAGATCTCAGTCCCACTGTCGAAACCAACGCAAGACAAACCGTCCGCAGATGCGATCGAACGCAGCTCCCCGGCATTACGAAGCGTGTTCACAATGCCTAAGCCACAGGCGCCTTCCCCCCAACCAGCATGTCATAAAAGGTGACGATTTAGAGATTTTTCCTTCGATGTCAGAGTTCATCTGCTGGACAGGTTAGGAACCAACAGTCTGCATACAAATAAGCCTGATCTGTAAAATGGATGTGCATACACAAAAATCAAGTTCTGGAAAAAGACCAGAAGTGGAGGAACCACCAGAATTTTCTGCCAGTGAAAGCATCATAGGTAGATAGCATCATAGGTAGATAGCATCATAGGTAGATAGCATCATAGGTAGATAGCATCATAGGTAGATAGCATCATAGGTAGACAGCAGTAAATCATTCTCTCAAACATCTTTTTAACATGGAAAATGGTGATCGAGACAAACTGGCACAGAAATGCTGTGTTTTGTCCAGGACTTCAGAATAACACTGCCAACATAATGTTGCCATCTTCCTCTGTCTTCCACAGTCACAATTAATTAACCAAATATGTGTTTTTTTCCTTAGTGCATAGCATTGTTGATCATTTTATAACATACACACAAAGAAATGAAACATAAATTTGAAAATAAAAATTTAAAATGGCAATAATTCAACAATCTACGACATATTGCTGTACGGTTGGGCAGATTTTTGACACAGCCGACCTAACAAGCCAGACATCTGCAGCAGTGACTGTACACCCTCAGCGATTCTCATGTGCGTGTACCCAATTTCCTGTTGGCACACAAAAATCAACACTGTTTTCATAAATTGCATTAAAAAAAAGGGTAAACCAATAAATAATTGTTACTTTATTTTTAAAAAAAAAAGTACTGCATCAATTAATATTATTTACATACCACAGTACTGAATATTGGGAGTGCCGTGGTGTAGCGGCTAGAAGCTCGCCTGCAGACACAAAGGTTGTCGGTTCAAAATCGTATGCAACCTGATATTTTTTGTTTAAACGACCTTGATTACCAGACTGACCCAGGTTTAAATAAACTAACATGTAAGTTCTGCAAAGTAAAAGTAGCTGGCTGCGATGTCGATTAAATCAGCCATCGAGGACCAGTTGGGTAATAAAAATATGAGTAAATGAATCAATTGCCTTTTTCAAGTTTAACAAATGAATCAAAATGTTTTACATCAAGAATTACAAAGGTCAGATTTTTAGAGCATGCATCACAGTATTCAATACGCCTGTGAGACCTGGACACTTACTGCAGCGGCTACAGCGCTTGCCTGCAGACACAAAGGTCGTGGGTTCTAAGAATATCATAAAGAAAAGAAAGAGCTGAATATTGAAGAGGGTTTTTAACGACATTGATTCTTAGGTTGAAATAGCTGGCTGTGATGTCGACTACATCAGCCATTGAGGACCAATTGGGCTATAAAAATATGAGTCTGAGCCTTATATGCCCTGGTGTTTAAAGGCACCTTTAATTAACTCTAGTATATTCAATATTACTGAAACTGCTACATGACTTGAGACAATTGTAAGGTGATAGAATGTGCAGTTTTTGGAAAATAAGGCACAGGCCAACCAGCAAGCGATAGAGGACACTGAAGATGTACTAGCTACAAAAGCACATGGCGCTGGAGAACTGGTTAGAGCAAAAGAGGTTTTAAGGCGGGCTGTGACGAGAGCGATGTTTTTCAAATAACCTGCCGACGGACTGATTGATACTACCCATCTAACTAACTTATTAACATAACTAATTGACCAACTATTAGCCTGCCTGACCAACTGTGAGCTTTCCTCACTAACTAGAGACATTGTTGTTCGTCCATCACGAGGGATGAAGACCACTTTTCATCCAAAGTAGTAATGATCAATGATTATGAGTACGAAGGTGGCTGATTAGTCCAATGTGAGTCTGGAAATGTCTTGAGCAGTGCGGACAACAGATGGAAGTCGTAGTAAGTGTGGGATTAGCAATACTGTTCTTTCTAGTCTGGCTCCGTTTCTCTGCCTGTGCAACCTCCGCTGCCTGGCAGGCCGATGTACTATATCTGAGGGATGTACGCCATCCAGAACGTCTTGTGCAGCAGCCTCCCATGTCACTGTGTTGATGCCAAAAGAAAAAGATTGATGAGGATGATAACTGGATGAAAGTGACTTGCGCAAGGACTTGGATTTAAATGAGAAAGAGTTGCGCAATTCGTCGACCTCACTCTCTCACCTGTGTCCATCTTGATCCAATGGTAGGACAATGTAACTACTGACATAACTACATACTTAAACACCTATCTAACAACCCATGTACTTAGCTAACTACCCACATAATGACTAACTGTCACCTACCTTTATGAACTCCAATTTGAGCCACTCATGCATGTCATGATTTTTGCAGACGCGAAACATGATAGTGATGATATCTTCTGCTGAGTATCCCAGACGCCATAGGTGTGCCATGACCTTGTAGGCATCATCCAGGTGACCCAAAACACAGTGTTGCAGCATGTCTTTGATCAGGACCGGGTGAGGTTCATCACACACCTTCACAGAGAATAAATGAAACAGGCTAATCAAAATTAATCTCTACAAAAGCTAACCTTGTGTAAAAATGTTTGAAGAAGCCAGATGTGTCGGACAAGATTCCCAGACTTCAACTGCTTTACAGTAAATTGGAATAGGGTAATTACATTCCAAACAAACATTAGTAGAAGAAAATGGAGGAGGTTAAAAAAAAGATGTTACAAAATTGAAAAAAACCAGAGAAATAAGAAAAAGAGGAGCAAAAGGAAGTCAATGTAAGAAAAAGAAAAGGAGAAGAGGAGAAAGAGAAGGAAGAATGAGGAAGAAACATGAGGGAAAAGAAGAGAAATAACAGAAGATGGCAGGGTAATGAAAAAGGAGAATAAGGAAGAGAAGATAAATGAAGAGAAGGAAGAATAGTTGGGGGTGGGTAAGGGAGGAGGAGGAAGCAGATACATATACACATTCTCGACTTACAACCTGTGGGTCTTAGGACCATCTGCACTGAGACACAACAAATAAACACAAATAATGAATACAGAAGGATTGACCAGGCAAGGTAAAACAAAGTTCCAAGAACTGAGACCTACTGTGTAAATAGATGCCTACGTATAATAATTATATGTCTATACATTGAATTTTGTGTTTTTTTTTGGGTACAATTTTATAACCCATTTGAATTTTTTTTAAAGGGTTAAACAATTTTTTGACTTATGCCCAGTTCGACTTTCAACCTGTCAGTTGAAACAGAACTAGGTCGTTAGCCAAGAAGGGCTGTAGATAGTAATTCAAGCCATACGTGAAAACATGTGCTCGGATAGAACAGATGTAGAGACAGACACAGCTATTCAAATGTTTTTGTGCTTAGACAAAACAGACACCTACACAAACATGTAAAACCTGTCCACGCAGAGAAAAGACTGCCTATCTCAAACATGCCTATCTCAAACATGAGGATAATGCTTTCTCTCAGACTCTGTAGTGAAGTCTAGATATACCAGCTGGAGTAGCTCGACGAGAAGAAACATGCAAGAGCTCACAGCCGCTTTTTCAAACAGTGAGGGGAGGTAATCACAGTTCCAACTTCACAACAAATGGGTCGCTCTACTGTGCCAGCCAAAACCACACAGAATGTCTATCACAGTCCCTGGTGAAAAAAATTAGATTGCAGTCTTGGCAAATCCAACAGTACATATTAAATGTATAAGGCATTGTCAGATGTGCCAATGCAGACAGTCCAACACCAGAAATGCAGTTCATCATCGATGGAAGCAGCAGTGCAACAGTTCAGTAGTTGCATTTGATGCACATGCAATCAATGACACAAGGCACCAAAAGTTCTCTGGCAACAGGTCACTCACCATTTTCTGAATCTGCAACTTACAATACAAACCATGCTGGGCACAGCAGAAAAGCATTCGAAATGAAATCTGGAGCTCACAGTGTCTTACCACACAAACAATTCAGTTGCCAGGGAACAGAACTATACATCAATAGGATATCAACAGGAGTTGCCAGTGTAAACCCACTAAGAAAGATGATTAGAAGAAAATCAGAGAACTTATGGCTATGCCTAACAGGCAATGAAGATGATCCTAAAATGAACGATGAACAAAGACTGAAGTATTTACCTTGAAGACATTTTCACTGTTGACGTGGCCAAATCCCTGAAAGGTCGACTGTAAATTGTTCAGAGCCTGTCAACAAAACAATCTGTTATTGACATCAGAAGAAGAAAAAAGGAAACAGCCGTTTTCAAACCAGAGGCACATTTGGCATATGATGAAAGGCTCATATTTATATTGAAAATCGGTGATCTATGGGTGATGGGGTCAACATCGTGCTGCCCAGCTGTCCGCCTTGAGTGCTGGAGGTCACAGGTTCAAGCCCTGGTCAAGGCTGGGATTTTGTCACGGGGACTTCTAGGTTTCTGGGTAGTAAGATCCAACGCCCGTGTGCATTGTTGCACATGTAAAAAATCCCCTGGCAGTTGGAAATCGAACAAGAGAAGCCTAACGGTGCTGCCCGGGCAAAATTTAGAGTTAAAAATCCACCCAAAGTATTTCCGAATCCTTGGCAGTGCTACGGAGTTCCTTCATACTGAGATCCTTTGGACAGGCTTGAGTCAGAAGTAGTATGGAGTACTAATGGGTTACTATCCTCGTGCCACAATGTTTATCCTTCATCCAAATTTAAAAGGAAAAAAACGTAAACCTAAACTTCCCAAGACTTTACCTGCAGCCATTTTAAGCTGGGTCAAAGATAGTCCGTGACTCACATTTGAAAGTTAACTACAGGGAAGACTGATGCCATCACAAGTTTGACTTTGTTTGCCTTTTCGGTGCTTGACCACAGACTTTTAATGCTGTTTAATCTTAGAATTGTTAATGGCTATCCCTTCTTTGACTTCTGTTAAAGAGTCTCCATTGCTGTTGAAAGCTAAAATCCCCTTTCACACCTTTAGGCGTATCGGGCGGTATGGGAAGAGCACCCATATTTTTTACAGACCAATCGGCACTAGAGGGGTAATGTGGTCAGCATTACTCTGGCCATCTTTCCTTCCCCAGGACAGCCATCCCGGTACCCAATTTAGGCTTGGTCAACCTGCAACGCCCCATACCAGGATAAAAGAAATCCACACAGCCAGCAGTGGGTTTTGATATGGTATGTCGGAATTACGAGTCGGACTCGCAATGCGCCTAAGCCACGGACGCCACAGTTGATTATGGAGCCTACACATATATATAGAACCTTTATGACATTTCCAATTTTTTCATCACATATTAAGTGAAAATAACACAGAACCTATAATTTTCAACTGTTTGTTCACTTTTTCTCAAATGTAATAGGGAAGAGCATTGTGTGATTTTCACTAGCAAAGAAACAGAGCAATTATGGACTTACCCATCTGAAGTGAAATTGAAACCTCAACAACAGGCAAAACAAGAATTTTAAAAACTAAAATACATCCTATTTTCTTCATCTGACCTGGATATGGTGGTTGGGATATTATACAGCTAGGCTGTGATATCTACATCTGTGGACCCAATACATCCAATTTTAGCAAACATGTAATTAGAAGCCTTCTATGACATGCTTATAGGGGGAGTGGGAGTTCGTCTCCCCCCCCCCCCCCACCCTGCACCAAAAATGGGGCCCCGGAACACACACACAGGGAAAATAAATAAACAAAAAATATTGTCTCTTGTTATTTTACCAGCAGAAGTCTAAGATTAACCATATGATGATCATGTGCTACCTTGTACTGAACAAACCATATGATGATCATGTGCTACTTTGTACTGAACAAACCATATGATGATCATGTGCTACTTTGTACTGAACAAACCATATGATGATCATGTGCTACCTTGTACTGAACAAACCATACGATCCTCATGTGCTATGTTGTACTGAACAAACCATATGATCCTCGTGTGCTACTTTGTACTGAACAAACCATATGATGATCATGTGCTACCTTGTACTGAACAAACCATATGATGATCATGTGCTACCTTGTACTGAACAAACCATATGATGATCATGTGCTACCTTGTACTGAACAAACCATATGATGATCATGTGCTACGTTGTACTGAACAAACCAACCTGTCTCATGTCACCCTGAGCCGTAAAGATAATTGCTTCCATCCCATCATCGGTGTATGTGACATCCTCGGCTTTAGCAACCTCCAACAGACGAGCCAACACCTGGGCATCACTCAGTTTAGAGTATCGTAACACAGCACAGCGAGACTGGATCGGCTCTGTAGTGAAAATAGAATTTCAAGCAGGCATGTTCACTGGTAAAAGCAGCTGATAAATGTTCTATTCGTACCAACTTTGTGCTATCAATGCTACACCAACTTTGTGCTATCAGTGCCACACCAACTTTGTGCTATCAATGCCACACCAACTATGTGTCATCAATGCCACACCAACTTTGTGCTATCATTGCCACACCAACTTTGTGCTATCAGTGCCACACCAACTTTGTGCTATCAGTGCCACACCAACTTTGTGCTATCATTGCCACACCAACTTTGTGCTTTCGGTGTCACACCAACTTTGTGCTATTGGTGTCACACCAACTTTGTGCTATCGGTGTCACACCAACTTTGTGCTATTAATGCCACACCAACTATGTGCTATAAATGCCACACCAACTTTGTGCTATAACTGCCACACCAACTTTGTGCTATAACTGCCACACCAACTTTGTGCTATAACTGCCACACCAACTTTGTGCTATCAGTGCCACACCAACTTTGTGCTATCAGTGCCACACCAACTTTGTGCTATCAGTGCCACACCAACTTTGTTTTATCATTGCCACACCAACTTTGTGCTATCAGTGCCACACCAACTCTGTGCTATCGGTGTCACACCAACTCTGTGCTATCGGTGTCACACCAACTTTGTGCTATCAGTGCCACACCAACTTTGTGCTATCAGTGCCACACCAACTATGTGCTATCAATGCCACACCAACTTTGTGCTATCAATGCCACACCAACTTTGTGCTATCAATGCCACACCAACTTTGTGCTATCAATGCCACACCAACTTTGTGCTATCAATGCCACACCAACTTTGTGCTATCAGTGCCACACCAACTTTGTGCTATCAGTGCCACACCAACTTTGTGCTATCAGTGCCACACCAACTTTTTTCTATCAATGCCACACCAACTTTTTTCTATCAATGCCACACCAACTTTGTGCTATCAGTGCCACACCAACTATGTGCTATCAGTGTCACACCAACTTTGTGCTATCAGTGCCACACCAACTTTGTGCTATCACTGCCACACCAACTTTGTGCTATCAGTGACACACTAACTTTGTGCTATCAATGCCACTCCAACTCTGTGCTATCAGTGCCACACCAACTCTGTGCTATCAGTACCACATAGACAGTCCTATAAAAGCATAAACGCAGAATTGGACACATATGAGATGAGATGTGTAAGAAAGGCTGTGGGGAGGTTGGTGGGGGGGACAAGGTCATCTGGTCAAAATGGAACCAAATCAGCCGGCAGTGTACTGCATGAGAACAGCAGGCTTCAAGTCAAGAGGCCGACCAAGAAACAGATGGGTGGTGGGAGTAAAAGAGATATTACAGAAACAATATCAGCGATGCACCTAGATAAAAGACAGAGAACTACATCCAACTCCTCTCTGTGTCACGTCAGCGCATAAGCAGAAGAACAAAAAAGAAGAGAGAGAATCTTCACTGTACAGGCATTTACATAAGTGATCTTCTCTTGAACGTGTTTCTTTATGTCTATATGCTGATCTCCCAATCTGTGTTGGCTGATTTTTTTTTGGGGGGGGGGGGGTGGTGGGGGGGGGGGTGGGGGTGGGGGGGGGGGGGGGGGGGGGGGGGGGGGGGGGGGGGGGGGGGGGGGGGGGGGGGGGTAGGGGTAGTAGTTGTAGCAGAAGAAGTTGGGGAAGGGGAGGAGTGCATCTTGCAAGGTTTTCAAGTCACAGTGCTCCAACAGATTTGCATCTTCTTCTTGTTCGTTTTCTGGGTTCATTCCAAGAAGTGAATGTGTTGTGACCTTGACATTTACAGAATGGCTGCAATATTAACATCTTTGGGCTGATTCATCCGACTTCTGCAAGTATTTCTTCCCCGGTTAGCCGTTCCGGTTAGTTTTGTGGGACACTGCAGATTCACTTGTGTGTGGTCATCTTTGTTTCCTAGTTCACAGGCTATGCCCCCGTCAAGCTAATCCAGACCAGCCAAATTATGCTGGTCAGCCCTCATGAGAAAACACGGGCAGGAAACAAATATTCCAAGGAAGCTTCCATAAATGCTGATACATGTTGCTCTGGTAATAGGCTTAGCCAAGAAATTGTCACATCCTGTTCATGACTGCTAAACCAAGACCAGCTCCAGCTGACAGGCCACGCTGCTGACATCACCAAACCGAGCTAACGATACGTTGACGCAGCAATTCTCAAACAGGGGTGCAGCGAGCATGTCAGGGGTGCCGCGGCAATAACCAAGAATTTTTCCAAATCCGCTTGACATTAAATGTGCAGTTTTCTCCTTTTTTAACTATTCAAACCGCTTTAAGGGCAGGTGTGCCGCAAAAAAAATTTGCCCGCCATAAAAAGTTTGGAAAACGCTGCATTAACTTGATTTTGTGACGTCAGAGGTATGGCCTGTCAGCTGGAGCCGGTCCTGGTTAAACCTCACCTCCGTATATTAAACCTCTAATTCACCATGGACCATTCTTTTAGAAGCCAGCAGTTGACAGCCTGTAGACCTGGGATTTCGATCATCTACACAAAGTGAGTACTCTGCTTCTTCCGCATGTTAGACTTACACTGCAGTGGACTTCCTTGTCCACTGTCTGAGTCAGGAAGAGATGAGTATCCTCAGGTCTGAGGTCTTTACCACGTGATGTCTCTTACTTAGTCAATTCTCTTCTAGCCTTGCGTGTAGAAGTTTGTTAATGAGATTGCCAAACTTCTCTATCAGCAGTTTTCTTGTCGGTTTTATTCCATACCAGTCCTCTGTCAGCCAGGGACTTTCGGATGTTGTCTTCCCAGCAAACTCTGGGTCGTCCTGGTGGCCTGGTTCTTGACTTTCCATTACTGCTGGTTTTCCCCCCATCGTGCATACATGTCCAAACCATCATAACTGTGACTGATCCACTCGAGCTTGTAAGGCCTGGGATGAA